TCTGCCTTTAGTGCAGCTGATCTAGGACAGAAAGCACCAACATCTCCCTCCCTCATTTTCTCCCGCCTTCTCCTTACACAGCATTGGCTTGATCCTGTTGAGCGGAGGCTGCCTCCTGCCTGGCTAAACTCCCCGTTGCCAAGCCTTGAGATTGGAGTGAAAACTCGGTTTGAATGCAAACAAACCCACTTTCTCCTCCCCTCCTTCCTTCTCTCGCTTCTCGCTGAACCTCAGAGCCGGAGAAAAAGGACTGGGGGTCTTTAGACCCAGATTCCCTCCCCATCTGTGGATCCTTCTGGAGGGGTTTGGCAATGGCCTTTCTCCCTGTTCTGAATGATTCATGCGAATCGCTTTACACGGGAGTCATTCACAATTGATAAATGGCAGCTTGGCTTTCCTTTCCCTTCACGAATCCCTAGATCAATGTTTTTTATTCCCCCCGAAACCGTTAACCTTTCCTCACTTTCATTTCAACCTGGGAATTGGGGTGGGGAAAGAAGAGAAGAGGGGAAGACCATGCTGGCTGGTTTCTGTCTTTCTTCTTATGTCCGTTCCTCAAAGTTAGCAGCAGCAGAAGGGGATTTTTTTTTTTTGGAGGGGAGAGGGACAAAGGGAGTGAAGCGAAACAGATTGGGAGGTCGCCATCCTGAGGGGGCTTTGCGAAGAAGAAACGAAGGGGTTGACTGAAGAGTGCGTTTTCCTATAGGCTGCTCAGGCTGCACGAATCCTTTTCTGTCTCTCCATCTCTCTCTTTTGAGTCTGTGATCACTGCCGCTCCATTCTCCCTCCTTCAAAACATAGAATACTTCCATTCAGACTTTGAGCGGCCAAGTTAAACAACAGAAAAGCATCAAATCCCTGGGTTGTTGAGTTTTCGGGGCTGTATGCCCATATTCCAGAAGCATTCTCTCCTGACGTTTAGCTTGCATCTATGGCAGGCATCCTCAGAGGTTGTGAGGTTTGTTAGAAACCAGACATTGGAAACGGGACAATCCACAGATATATAAACCCAATTTTCCTAGTTTCCAACAGACCTCACAACCTCTGAGGAAGCCTGCCATAGGTGTGGGTGAAACGTCAGGAGAGAATGCTTCTGGAACATGGGATACAACCCAGAAAACCCACAACAATCCAGTGATTCCGACCATGAAGGCCTTTAACAACTTCCGCCACACACACCCCCATTGTTAGTTTCCCCCGTCTCAGTTCTACCACACATTCTTTTTTTATAGTCGTATCCCCAAAATAGGGTGACAGAGGAGATTCATGGAAGTTCAGGCGAACCAGCTTAGTTCCAGGAGAAGCCTCTTTTTGCCTTGCTAGCAGTGTGTCCCGCCAAAATAAGAACGTTGTACCCATATGCAACGTTCATATGGGTTCATATGGGATTCCTGTATTGATTTCGCCTATAAAGGAATCTCTGTCTCTCTCTCTCTCTCAGGAAGTGATCAGGTGTGTTTTTTGTGTGTTTGGGGAGGGATTTATTTGGACTCAAATGGGATGGGATCAACAAAGAATGACAGGGAGAAGGGAGCCACTCTGCTCCTCCGTTTGTATGTCCAGGGCGAGTGCTGCTGAAGCTATCACCACAGGTTTGGACGTGAATTTTTCAGGAGCTGTCCAAGGTGCTGACTGCATTGCCAGGCTTAGGCTCGCATGGTCATTGCTAGGAATGCCCAACGTTTCATTGGGAAACGGAGGAGTCACTCGTAATCGGGGTTTAATCCAAAGCAGCCCTGTTGCTTCAGGGCCCTTCCACACAGACATATAACCCAGAATACCAAGGCGGATAATCCACATTATCTGCTTTGAACTGCGTGATCTTGAGTCCACACTGACATATAATCCAGTTCAATGTGGATTTTATAGCTGTGGAAGAAGCTTCAGGGTCCTTCCTGACAGGCCCTATATCCCAGGATCTGATCCCAGGTTTTCTGCCTTAAACTGGATTATATGAGTCTCCATTGCCAGATAATCTGGGATAAACAGAAAACCTGGGATCAGATGCTGGGATATTGGGCCTGTCTGGAAGGGCCCTCGGTGATACATCCTGCCTGGGGAGCCTCCCACAGCAGCCATATAATCCAGAATATCAAAGCAGAAAATCCCACAATATCTGCTTTGAACTGGGTCATTTGAGTCTGCATTGCCATATATTCCAGTTCAAAGCAGATAACGTGGGATTTTATTTAGCTGTGTGAAAGGGGCCTGGGTTTTTGGGTGTACTAAAAGCGGGATTTCCCCTTAACGCCGAAAGAGAAAGTGATAGGCAGTAGGCAAATCCTCATCCAGCTTGGCATTCCTCACAACAAGGCTCTATCTACCCAACCAAGAACCCTCACACACTTCTCTTCGGAGCCTAATTCACCAGGCAGGGGCGGGAGAACGGCTCCCATTGTTAAGGAGACCCGCGGAGAAAGAAAGAAAGAAAGAAAGAGGAGAGAGAGAGAGAGAGAGAGAGGAGACAGAAGCCAGAGAGAAGAGAGAGGAGAAAGAGAGAGGAGGGAGAGGAAAAAGAGAAAGAGAGAGGAGAGAGAGAGAGAGAGAGGAGGGAGAAGGAGAGGGAAAGAAGGAAAGAGAAAAGGGAGAGAGAGAGAGAGAGGGAGGGAAGAGAGAGAGAGAGAAAGAAAAAGAGAGAGGCGAGACAGCTATAGAAAAGGAGAGAGAGGAGAGAAGAGAGAGAAAGAGAAAGAAAGAAAGAGGGAAGGAAAGAGAAAAGAGGAGAGAGAAGAAGAAGGAGAGGAGAGGGAAGAGAGAGAGAGAACGAAAGAGGGAGGGGAAGAGCGGGAGATAAGAGGGAAGAGAGCGAGAAAAGAGGGAAGAGGAGAGAGAATAAAGGGGGAGAGATGGGAGAGAGAACGAGAGAAGAGAGAGAGGAGAAGGAGAGAGAGAAAAGAAAGAGGAGAGAGAGCGAGAGAGAGAAGAAAGGAGAGAGAGAATATAAGGGAGAGAAAGGGGAGAGAGAACGAGAGGAGAGGGAAAAGAGAGCGAGAGCGAGAGAGAGAGGGAGAGAGAGGTGGCGGCGCTTCCACGCTGGGAGCCATAAACTCGCCCTGTCTCTCTCGCTCACTCCCCCCTCCCCTTTCCTCTCTCTCTCTCTCTCTTCTCCAATCTGAGCCGATCTTATCAATGACACCGCAGCCGAGGGGGCTTCTAATCCCACCCCCCAGGCGCTTGGAGCCCGCTCCTGATTGGCGGCCGGACAGGGAGGCGGGTCCGCTGCCCCGGCCGCTATTGGCTGGCGGGGAATCCGTATCAATGTTTAAGCGGCGGCGTGAGGTGAATAGAGTCAGTCGGCAAGAGGCGCCGGGAGTGCGAGGGACTGGGCGGCGGGCGAGAGAGCGAGAAGCCGAGGGAGAGGCAGAGAGAGCGAGAGAGAGAGAGAGCGATGGCGGGAGGCGGCGGCGGCGGCGGCGGCGGCGAGGGGCCCGCTCCATCGCGGCGACTGCGGCAGAGAGCGAGGCGGCATGGCTGCTGCTGAGCCGGCCTCTCTCTCTCTCTCCGGCGCCTGGCTCCAGCCAACTGTTGCTGCGGCGTCATCATCGTCGTCCTTTACCTGCGGGCTCCAGATGGATTTCTTTGCAGAGGAGGGGGAAGACACGCGTCCCCTGCCTGTCGCCTGACCAAAACAACAGCATCCCCCCCACCCCCCCCCCCCCAAAAAAAAACCCAGAGAGTCAAGGAAAGTGATTTATTTCTTCTTCTCGCTGGAGAGACTGGACTTCAGTTTTTACAAATATTATCTGGCATAAACAGGAGAATACAACGGCTGCCCAAACTTCCCAGAGAGAGCGTGTGTGTTTCACACGTCACACTACGAAAAAGGAAGAACATATATATATATACCCAAAAGCGGGGGCCACTGAGATCTTCTCGGTTGTGAGGAACTGAAGCCAGTGGAAGGGGATCTGCGGGCAACACCCTCCCTCTGGGCTCCCCTTCCTGGTGTCAAAAAGAACATTCAAATACCCCTTATATATATTTTTTTTCCCCAACCGCATCCTCATCTCCCCCTTTCCTTTCCATCCCTGTCCTTTCTCTGTGAGAGAGAGAGATTGGAGCACGCACCAGCAGGAACTGAATCCCGTCCTTCTATGAACCGGATTGATTGATCGATTTGGGTATTTTTTTTTTCCGCCTGGCTCAACCCAGACTGGAAGCTGGGCATGGCTGAATGACCCTTTCTCCGGGGGGAAGGGGGGAGAAGAGTACCTCTCCCCCAAATCCTCCTTGAACCAGCAATAAAACATTATCCTCCCCCTCACGAACAGATAGAGAGGGAAAAAACAGGCTTTGCGATCCAAAACACGGCGCGATGCAGCGAGGAAGCCTAAAGTGACTCGTGTTTGGAGGCGGCAGGGGAAGATGATGGACGGCGCTGCCTGCTGAAGGCGAAGGCTGTTTCCTTCCTCTGGCGCGTGAGTGTGTGTGTGAGAGTGAGTGAGTGTGTGAGAGAGGAGGAAGGGTGCGCGGTGCGCGTGTGTGGTGTCTCTCCCTCCCTCCCTCTCTGTCTGCCCGCCCCACCTCTCTCTCTCTCTCTTTCCTTCCCTCCCTCCCTCTCCCTTTTTTAATCTCTGCGCCCAGCCCTGAGTCGCCTGTTGATTTCCTCTCCTCGACTGGCGGAGGCAGAAAGGCACGCGTGGACGGAAGAGTCCACCACTGCAGCGGGAAAGTGCCCGGCTCCTCCAGTCCAGACACGCTCCAGAGAGAGAGAGAGGGAACGAGAGAGAGAGAGAGATTGGCGATGTGGCGGCGGCGCCAGGAGCAGCAAAGGCGGAGGCGGCGGAGACTGCTGCTGCTGCTGCTTCTTCCCCGGCTCTCCCCGGCGGGCCTTTTTGACAAGCCTTGGGTGGTTTCTCCTTCTCGGTGAATCTCTGAGCCCAGCCATAAAGCAAATCCGGAGGAGGCTCGCCTGTCTCCTCAGAACACAGCACCCCACACGCAGCCTCCCTCCGCTCGTGGGGAGGAACTACACATCTTCAAGAGACTCCTCATCCTCATCCTTTCCAGCTCGGCTTCTCGCTTTTTTTCTTGGCGGCGCCGCAGGAGGAGCCTTCCTCTGTGTGTGTGTCTGTCTGTGTGTGTGTGTGTGCGTACCTCGGAGAGGCAGGCAGAGCAAGCCAAGCGGTCTCCCGGATGGCAGGCGGCGGGATGCGGACCTCCGCGGCTCCGCTTAGATCGCGGATTGCAGCAGCGGGAGAGAAGACCCCCTGAGAAGGAGGACCCCGACCAGAAGGGGAAGCCAAGCCCAGCCTGCCGAGCCTCCGCCACCTCTGCGCTCTCCTCCGACTATTGCAGCAACCCCCGCTTTGCTTTTGCTGATTTTGTTTTTGCTGGGATTTCACCTCTCGCGTGTTTTTTAAACCCCGGTTTCTCCATCTATTGACTCAGGACACCGGCAAGCATTTCTCCTGGGGTTTTGTACCGCCTCTTCCTCCTTTTCCAGACCAAAGCTTTGCCTTTTTCTTTCGCCTCCCCCCCTCCTCCTCCGTGAAGTTGGAACTGCAGCAGCAACAAGGAGGAGGCCAAGAGGCGGGAGGGAAGAAAGAGAGGGGACGGAGCGGGACCCACTCACTCACTCACTCACGCCATCCTCCCCTTCCTCTGCCTCCTTCCATCGCTCAGCTCGCTCCGTCCATGGTGGCGCTGGGGCTTTGCGGATCTTCCCGAGCAACAGGTCCAGGAACTTGAAAGGAGAGCGGGAAGGGAGGGAGGGAGGGAGGGAGGGAGGAAGGGATCCCGGCTCTCGCCTGCCTGCCTGCCTGCCTTCCTTCCTTCCTTCCCCTGTGATGTCTCTCTCCGCCCGGGCCTGCCTCTGCTGCCTGGCCGTCCTCCTCCTGGGCTGGGCCCCGGCCTGGGCGCTGAAGAACCTCAACTACTCGGTGCCGGAGGAGCAAGGCGCCGGCACCGTCATCGGCAACATCGGCCGCGATGCCCGGCTGCAGCCCGGGCCCGGCGGAGGCTCGCCGTCCTCGGAGCGTCCCCGCGGAGGAGGGAAGTCCACCTTCCGCGTGCTGGAGAACTCGGCGCCGCACCTGCTGGACGTGGACGGCGAGAGCGGCCTGCTCTACACCAAGCAGCGCCTGGACCGCGAGGCGCTGTGCCGGCGCAGCGCCAAGTGCCAGCTCTCCCTCGAGGTCTTCGCCAACGACCAGGAGATCTGCATGATCAAGGTGGAGATCCAGGACCTCAACGACAACGCGCCGGCCTTCCCCTCCGACCAGGTGGACCTCGACATCTCAGAGAACGCGGCGCCGGGCACGCGCTTCCCCTTGGCCAGCGCCCACGACCCCGACGCCGCCGAGAACGGGCTCCGGACCTACCTGCTCACCCGCGACGACTACGGGCTCTTCGCGCTGGACGTCAAAGCCCGCGGCGACGGCACCAAGTTCCCGGAATTGGTGGTGCAGAAGCCGCTGGACCGCGAGGAGCAAAGCCACCACACGCTGGTCCTCACCGCGCTCGACGGCGGGGATCCGCCACGCTCCGGCACCGTCCAGCTCAACGTCCGCCTCATTGACTCCAATGATAACAGTCCTGTCTTCGAGGCTGCCTCCTATGTGGTGGAGCTGCCGGAAAACGCTCCGCTGGGCACTGCAGTGCTCGACCTCAATGCCACCGACGCCGACGAGGGCACCAACGGAGAGGTGCTCTATGCCTTCAGCGGATACACACCCGAGCGGGTGAGGGAGCTCTTCAGCATCGACCCCCAGAGTGGCCTGATCCGTGTCAAGGGCAACCTGGACTATGAGGAGGGTGCGCTGGTGGAGATCGACGTGCAGGCCCGTGACTTAGGGCCCAACCCCATCCCAGCTCACTGCAAAGTCACTGTCCGCCTCCTGGACCGCAACGACAATGCACCCTCCATTGGTTTCGTCTCAGTGCGGCAGGGGGCCCTCAGTGAGGCTGCCCCACCTGGCACTGTCATCGCCCTGGTAAGAGTCACTGACCGCGATGCTGGCAAGAATGGGCAGCTCCTCTGCCGGGTGCAAGGCGACGGTGGCAGTGGTGGAGGTGAGGGAGCCGTGCCCTTCACCCTGGAGGAGAATTATGACAACCTCTACACTGTTGTCACCGACCGGCCCCTGGACAGGGAGGTGCAGGACGAGTACAACGTCACCATCCTGGCCAGGGATGGTGGCAATCCCCCACTCAACTCCACCAAGTCCTTCACTGTCAGGATCCTGGACGAGAATGACAACCCGCCCCGCTTCAGCAAGAACCTGTATGTCCTTCAGGTGCCCGAGAACAACATTCCCGGAGAGTACCTTGGCTCTGTCTTAGCCAAGGACCCTGACCTGGGCCAAAATGGCACTGTCTCCTACTCCATTCTCCCTGGGCACGTCGGTGATGTTTCCATCTACACCTACGTCTCCGTCAACCCCACCAATGGGGCCATCTACGCCTTGCGCAGCTTCAACTATGAGCAGACCAAACACTTTGAGTTTCATGTACTGGCCAAAGACTCAGGCTCCCCCCACCGGGAGAGCAATGCCACCGTCCGTGTCACTGTCCTGGATGTCAACGACAATGCCCCTCTGATTGTCCTGCCAGCCCTGATCAATGACACTGCTGAACTCCAGGTCCCACGCAACGCCGGCGTGGGCTACCCAGTGGGCACAGTGCGTGCCTTGGATAGTGACTTTGGAGAGAGCGGGCGCCTCACCTATGAGATTGTTGAAGGCAATGAGGAGCACCTTTTTGAGATGGACCCTACCAGTGGGGAGATCCGCACCCTGCACCCTTACTGGGAAGAGCTTAGTCCTGTGGCCGAGCTTGTGGTGAAGGTCAGTGACCATGGGAAGCCCAGCCTCTCTGCAGTAGCCAAACTGATTGTGCGGGCCTTGGCTGGGCCACTTCCCGAAGCAGGGGAGCCCCAAGTGAATGGGGAGCAGCACCGACGGCCCCACTGGGACTTGTCTCTCCCCCTGATTGTCACCTTGAGCACTGTGTCCATCATCCTGCTGGCTGCCATGATCACCATTGCTGTCAAGTGCAAGCGGGAGAACAAGGAGATCCGCACCTATAATTGCCGCATTGCTGAGTATAGTCACCCCCAACTTGGTGGTGGGGGTGGAGGGGGTGGTGGTGGTGGAGGCAATGGTGGGGGCAAGGGCAAGAAGAAGAAGATCAGCAAGAATGACATCATGCTGGTGCCCAGTGAAGGGGAGGACAGTAGAGGGCCCCTGAACGTCATGAACGTGGTGAGCAGCCCTTCTTTGGCCACCTCGCCCATGTATTTTGACTACCAGACCCGCCTGCCCCTTAGCTCCCCCAGGTCTGAAGTGATGTACCTGAAACCAGCCTCCAACAACCTGACTGTGCCCCAGGGACACGTGGGCTGCCACACCAGCTTCACAGGGCAAGGGACTAACGTCACTGAGGCTCCTCCGAGCCGGATGTCCATAATACAGGTAGGAAACCTTTAGAAATTCCCTGTGGCATTCTCCTTCCCTCCTAAAGTTGCATTTTGGGGCTGCAGTGAAACCTGCCCGGAGGCATCCACATAGGTGAATCTGTGGGTTCAGGGGTCACGTCTAATTCTCAGATTAGTTGTTAGGTATACCATTAAAATAATATAAAAATAAAACAGTAGCAGAGCATTGCAGTAGCATAGAACTGGGACACATTTAAAAGCTTAAAAAACCCATTCTAGTATTTTCTAGAAGGTTTTTCTTTTTTTTCCTACAGGTTTCACTGTCATGTCCCTTGGGGGAAGCAGGGGAAGGTTCAAAGAAGGCCACTGAGTGATCTACACGTCTATATACAATTGGAAATGTCTATAAATAGATATACATCTGTATATGATGTATCTTTATTTCATACTGAGGTTTAATTTAGGGCACTTTGAGATGCAGTGCATGTAGCGCTCCATTTGTGTATGTCAAAATGGACTCTGTTTGCAAAATGTATGGCTCCTTCACAGTCAGAATGCCCTATGTGTGGTTATCTCCATACAGATGGTTATTTTTGACACAGAATATTATCTCTTGGAACTCCACTGAGCCAACGCAGTTTCTTCATGGATACCAAATCCAAGCTTTTTTTACAAAGCCACAATTTGATTTGCTCGATTAGAGTGTGGCCACATTCTAGCCCCGGTGAAACACTTCAAAGTGCCATTGATTTCCACAGAAAAGGGGTTTAAGCACATGACTAACCCTTCCATTGAAGTCAGTGGGTTTTTGATGTGTTTCATATTCACTGAATGAAACGTGATAGTTCTATTTGGGTGTGTAGAGTAGGTAGGCAAGTCGTTAGAGATCTGAATAAATAAATCAAAATGAAGAGCACACATATTGTGCCCTCATATAGGAAAGCTGGCTCTTGGGTGCTGAACCAATATTCAGATTGTTTTGCCAGGGCTGGTTCTGCAGACAGTCATGCTTATTGTTGGGTGAATGCAGATCCAGAGGTGACTTGCAGGTATGAATGGCTACTACAGACTGAAGACAATAGAAACAACATTCTTTCAGGCACAATGTCATTTTGTTGGGGGTCCTTTCAGTTACCAGATCTTCAGTGCCACACTGTGCAGGTCTAGCAATGTGTAAACCAGCCTTTAGATGTCCTAGACATTTGGAAAGTGTCCGACGTGTGATCCAGTACAACAGCCAGCATAGTGATCTTGTTTGCTGTGTAATAATCATGTCGTGTCTCAAATAATATAATAAACTTTATTTATAGACCGCTCTGTTCCCCCAAAGAGACTCGGGGTGATTTCTAACATGTATGGCAAACATTCAATGTTAATAGTTTATTTTAAAAAATGATGCTGAGGACACTACTAAATGGTTCCTTTACAGGCCCTAAAATTCATGAGGAAACCAGTTTTTTTGGGGGGGGGGTAGAACCCTTTATTCCCCCCCCCCCCCACTGGCTATGGCCCTGAGTCAGGGTATGAACTCTATAGAACAGACCCAGCCAAAATCAAATATAATACTTTTGGGTGATAGGAGTCTAAGCCCATAACTAACATTTAGCACTGAAACTAATGAACCTTAAACGTGCCTGTCTTGAGCTTGAGTGGTGTCTAATATTTTTTGACACCTCTATTTACAAACAAAACAAGGATTTTGTATATTTTTCTTAAGAGTGGAACATTAYTGATTTAAGGTAAAGCTTAAGWTACATTACATATGTGCTTGAAAAATKGAGTCTCTGATRTAGATGATGGGATAACTCTAGGGAGGTCTAGTGTGAGSTCATCACACTAGAGAATGAATCCACTTTAAATCYGGTTGCTGCCTCCTGCATAGTTATGGGGTTTGTAGTTTAGGGAGRGGCCTTTAAACAGCCTCACTAAACTACAAACCCCAGAATTCTGCARGAGGCAGAAACTGGATTTAAAGTGGATTCATTCTCTAGTAYGATGAAGTASTAGGTATTTTTGAACTACAACTCCCATCACAACTCACAGTTGGCTCTCCCAGTTGATGAGARTTCTAGTCCAACAACATTGGGAAGGGCACATGYACATGTTCTCCACCTTTCTGCTCTAGCTAAGWGGGTTCWAGGCTGTAATTCATCAGTKTRSTGYGYMATACTGATACCAAAAAGAGCAGAGGTTTTAAACTGAATTAACTGAAATGAACCCAGTGAGCTTAGTTGGGATGTATCTCTGGTTACTGAGAGCTGATTCTAAAATGGTTACATTCTAGGGTGGTCTATTTCAGATTGCAGTAGGGGATTCCCTTTTTGAATTCTCTTCTGTATTGAAAATCATCTTTTCTGCACTTTTGTAAATTAAGAAGTATTTTATGGAAGGACAAATTAATCATGCAGCTACTTGTGATGTGTCAACAAGGGAGCATTATTCCTCTACATGAAATAAGAACTAGTATACATTGACCACCTAACTGCACACCTTATAAATTGAGTATAAGCCTTATAAAATCCAGTTTGCATCATTGGCCTATAGAACAGAACTTGCCCTACAATTATTTGTTTCTCTTTATCAGTTGAAGTAGTGGGATATAATGTTAATCTCAAATGCAATCCAATGCAAGCTCTGGAGAATGGCTGGGAAATTGACAATGTCATATGTTTTGTCCTGCGCTACATCTAATATGCTATACCGAGCCACAAGGGAATGATCTGAGTGTATCAAAAGTGACAGGCTCTTTTTAAATGTTCTGTGCTTAATGGGGGGAAAGTTGTTGCCTTGCTCTTTATGTACATAAATGTCTCTAAAGGGTTGGAGATGTCTTGTCCACACAGTCCTGTAGCCACCATACTTACAGTATGCTTCTTGCCTGTCGTTGCAGTCCTGGGCACATTGACTTGGGAGAAAACTCCATTAAATAGTAAGATTTATTTCATGCATGGGATCAGAAGGCAAAAAGCTCATTGCACAGCTGTCTGTTCCCCTCTAAGTGACACAGTCACACTTTAGTTTGACCAAGAAATTGAATCGCAAATGTGTTTGCACGGATTGGAACATGCTTCAACTCCAGCCCTATCAGTGGCTGATGTCCCTTTCCTTTTTTCCTGTCTAGGCAAATGGCTGCTGTTCAAAAGTGATGCTTAACAATAGAGAGATATGTCTCAAAGAGGGCAAAACTTGCCCATTACCTTTGCCATCACCAGAAAGGTCTCATGGGTTCCCAGCCCCCATTTCTCTTTAGCCTCCCATCAACACTTGCCTTGTCTGTCATGAACAAAGTGTGGGATGAGTTGTGGGTAAGGGAACCTGGAAAACATCAGGCCTCGAAATGGTCATCACTGAGTCTTTTCTCCTTTCAAAGAGTGATACCCCCCAGACAAGGTCACTGCGAACTGTTCTTCAACCCACTATTGAGCTGTGCTGCAGAAACAATTTCATTTTCTGCTTATCATGGATGTGTGTTGCTATCAATTAGGTGAGCTGAGCAAAATTCAAAATCTGAAATTGATTTTAACAAAAAGTGACACTTGGAGGAAGAATATTAGGTTAGGGCAGAACTGAAGGTAATTTGATTTATAATTCATGCATTTAAAAGGATTTTCCCTTGCTTAAGTTATATCTTTATACACACACACACACACTGGTATAGTCAGAATACTAAAGCATCTTCCATATCCCACCCATCCTATCCTAAAGCTTTTAAAAAATTCCAATGTAATAGTTACTTAAATATGGAGACTTATATTTTGCTAAATCCATGTAATATCTATCTAGATCAAACAATATATGTATTGATGATGATACTGAATCATTTTTTGTCTTGAGATTTATATAAACGTAAAAGAGGAATTTCTTGACTTAAAAAGCTGCTCTGTGTTTTTTGTTATTTTTTAAAATGCTAACCATAAATGGGAACTAGTTGCAATATCTGATAATGCCTACTAGAAGTGCAAAGTCTGTAACATAGTATGACACAAATCACTATCAAGCAAGGTAACTTAATCAATGGCCCAAGTTCTCCTTTCCACTGTGGAAAATCTGGGTCATAGAAGTCTAGATCATAAATAACATAGCACATTTTAAGAGGAGTTAAGATGTTTCAGTCAAATGGCTAGATGGCTATTTTGTGAAGTATATGTGTTATGAGACCAGGGGTGCATCTATATTGTAGAGTTAATGCTGTTTGACCACTTTATTTCCCATATCTGAATGCTTTGGAACCAAAGGAGCTACAACTTTGCAATGTATTTAGCAGTCCCTGCCAAAGAATGCTGGCATCTTACTTACACCTCCCATGATTCCATCACATTGAGCCGTGACAGTTAAGGTGTTGTCAAATTGCATTCATTCTATAGTGCAGATGCATCCTAAGTGAGTGAATGTTGGATAGCTAGTTCCAATCCTCCTATGTAATAATGCAAACCTAGCATCTTGAGTTATGATTGGAATGATAAATAATTGGGATGGGAGTTATCTTGGGAATTATAGTCCACCTCATCCTCATTCAAAACTCTGAGAAATGCAGAATCCATTCCAGATAGCCATTATATTTAGTGAAGGTTAATATTTGTACTAATACACAGACAAACCACTTCTAGCAGGCATGGAAACATCGTGATAAGGAAAGGCTTTGCCTGTTGAATGTCTTCCTGTCATGCATCTGCTAAAGGAAGGATGAAGAACCTTTAGACTTGTTGTGAAGAACTCCAGCACTCATTCAGCATTGGTAATACTGGGTGAGATGAATGGGACTTGAAATTCAAAATACCTAGGAAACAAGAGTTTCCATTATTTATTCTTAAAAAAGAGTGGCAATTGTACAGCCGAGTTGCTGTGAGTTTTCCCCGCTGTATGGCCATTTTCTAGAAGCATTATCGCCTGCCTGCCATAGATGTGGAGGAAACATCAGGAGAGAATGCTTCTGGAACATGGCCATGCTGCCTGGAAAACTCACAGCAACCCGGTGATTCCAGCCATGAAAGCCTTTGACAACAAATTGTACAGACTTCCAGATGTTGTTGGAACGCA